GAACTGCTGACCTTGAGGCTAGCAGCCTGACTTGTAACCACTGTTACCAGGGCTCCTTTATAGAACTTTTATTATTGCTGGAGTAAGATATTGTTTTGATGTGCATCTCTCTAATGGTCGGAACCGACTCAACGGCACTTAACAACAACAACAACAAATGGCTAGTGAGGAATCCTGGTGTGATGCTGTGGGTTAATGCACTGGACTGCAAGGTCGATAATGCCTTATTGACCATGGCTCCCATATGCCATGCTCTCCTGGCTCACCTGGGCCCTCCTCACTCCACCTCCTCTCAGAATGATGCATCTCTGGTTCCTCTCTTCTGAACCCTTTTGGAAATTCAAACTCCTTCTCATTTTGTTAAGCAGAATAATAAATTCCCCAGGCTTGTTTTATCCTCTTCAGACTTCTGCTTAGAGAAGACCAGAAGAAAAGATAGAAATGAGAGCTCTCACCTTTCAAAAGCAAGGGAACCCTTCAAAATATTTTCAAAATGAAGATCCATACCACTACACACCTATGAGAAAAGCTAAAATAAAAAACATTGACCATACCAAATGTTCACAGTGATGCAGTGCAACTGAAATTCTCATATTTCACTGATGAGAATGCAAAATGGCACGACATTCTGAGAAACAGTTTGGCAATTTCTTATATAGTTAAACATACGCTTACCATATGGCCCTGAAAATCCTACTCCTGGAATTTGCCTTAGAGAAATGGAAACTCCTGCTCATTGGAAAACCTGTACATGAATGTTGATAGTAATTCTATTTATAATATCCAAAATTGGTAACAACCTAAATGGGTAAATAACCTATAAAGTATCAATTTTATAGAATATTCTCACCTATAGTAGGAAATAAACTAATGACACATGTAATAATTTGGATCAGTCCCAAAGACAATATGCTGAATGGAAAAAGTCAGTCTCAAAAAAATTACATACTGTGTTATATAAATATATAAATGAATAACACAGTATGTAATTTTTTTGAGATTGACTTTTTCCATTCAGCAAAAAAAAATTGCATACTGTGTTATATAAATGAATAACACAGTATGCAATGTTTTTGAGACTGACTATTGATGAGAATATTCTATTGACTTGATACTCTATAGGTTGTTTACCCATTTAGATTGTTACCAGGTTTGGGTGATTATAAATTATAAATATAAAAATTCTCAAAAATAAAAAATTATAGCAACAGAAAACAAACCATGGTTAGAGTTTGGGTGTGGGGCGGGGGAGTGACATTAAAAGAATAGCAAAAGAGTGTTTGGGAAGTTGATTTAAATGCCCTAATTATGGTGGTGGTTTCATAAATTTATATAAGTGTAAATGTGTTACAATTTATAGAACTATTGTTGTTGTTAGGTGCCTTTGTGTCAATTCAACTCATAGTGACCCTACAGAAAGGGATCACTGAAAGACACAGTGCCCAGTCGTGTGCCATCCTCACAATCTTCGCTATGTCTGAGTCATTGATGGGCATTGTGCCAGTCTGTCATTGAGGATCTTCCTCTTTCCACTGACCCTCTACATTAACAAGCAAGATGCCCTTCTCCATGAATTGCAAACATGTCCAAAGTATGTGAGATAACGTCTCAACAGCTTCACTGGCTATATTTCTTTTAATACATTGTGTTCATTCTTCTGACAGTCCTTGGTATATTCAATATTCTTTACCAACACTTTAACTCAAATTTATCAATTCTTCTTCAGTCTTCCTTAGAAAATACCATGGGTCAGATTCACCTTAGTCCTGAAAGTGACTTTTGCAACAATACAGTAAGTCATTTGATTTCTTGGCTGCTGTTTCTGTGGATATTGATTGTGATTCAAGTAAAATGAAATCCTTGACACTTCAGTATTTTGTCAGTTCATCATAATGTTGGTTATTAGTCCAGTTGGGAAGATTTGTGTTTTCTTTATGTTGAGGTGTAATTCTGTACATAACAAAAAGTCTATTTTAATGTATAATAATTTTAAAAGGTATGCAAGGGACAGAAGAATATGTTAAGCAATAGCACAGGGTAGAATGGGGAGGTCTTAATGTAGTTGTTGTTGTTGTTGTTAAGTGCCATCGAATTTGGGTCTTAATGTAGTAGGATACTAAATCTATAAAGCAAATGACCAGAATTCTTCAACAAATAAACCACAAGAAATAAAAAAGGGACAGTGGACTCTAAAGATAAAGAGAGAGACTCAGGGAACAGTAGGGCCAGTAGGCATTACGCAGTCCACAAAGACAATATTCTGCATCCAACTTTGGTGAATACCAACTGAGCTCCTAAAAGCTCGTGTGCAGCCATCTAAGGTGAAACTAATGGTCTCTCTGTGCCCAGAGGAAAGAATAGTGATGAAAACTGAAGATACATAGAAATAGTTAGTCCAGGGTCTAATGGACATAAGAACGTCAGTCTCCACAACCCTGAAACCAGAAGAACTAGGTGTGCCTGGCTCCCACTATCAACTACTCTGAAAGGGTAATTAGAAGATGCTGAATAGAGCCGGGGGAAATGTGGAACAAAACTCAAAATCATAAAAAAGACCAGGAATATTGGCTGGTTAGAGACTGGTGGAACCCTGAGTCTAAGACCCTTGGTCCTCCTCCAGGTCTGGAACTAAACTCACCCCATGGCTCAATGTTCAGCCAAGCAAGTGATAGGTCTATAGGAGGAGCAACAACATAAGTGAGGTACACACAGCATAGAATGGTCAACCAATTGAG